ACATCTTCTAAGAGACAATCCATTATCACTGTAGATAGGTATGTGCCATTAGTACTCTACATCAGAAGCATGGTATCTTAGCAATATGTAAGTTGTGCACATAGCTCTTTTTATGCCTAACACATTGATATATTAGATAGTATTATTATGGAACATATTTGTTCCATTCCTCTTTGGACCACATTTAGCTTCTTCTCCCCTGTTTTAGAGACATATCTTATCTTCTTGGGGCTTATGATCTGAGAATATCTGAGCAGAGGGCTCATTGCCTGTGAGATCCAATGTTAGGCCCTAAGGTAAGTAATACAATATGCAGGTTTTTATTCCCACCATCATGACACTCTTCTGAGAACAAGCCAAAAAAGGTATAGTCCTTATCATCAGAATCCAGTTTGAATATACTGCTCTTGGATCCCACTTTTTTTAGTGCTATCATATTGGGCTAGTTGGTTAAATTTTTGAAGAATAAGATTGTTCTGCCTCATCTACAGTCTAGCTTTGGCAGTTTCAGGGTCTTCCAAGAGAGGATGTCTCATTCCTGACATGCTCCTCAAGGAGAGGTGACGAAACCTACCTAGTGCCTTGAAGATGAATTTTATTATTCTACCATAATTGTATGTGTTAGGCAGTACTGGTGCCTGGTTGTTTGGTTTAACAACACCCAATGGTCAGGACAGTTAATTTGAAGTACCACATCTATTCCAAAGACAGAGCAAGTTTATATTTATCCACCTAGCTCTTCCATAGTGTGGGTTATAGCACAGCAGAGGGAAAGAACTACAGGGCGGTATTCTCTGGGTCAGGAAAAGGATACATTTTCTTAGGTTACAGTCCAAGTTATGGAATAGCATCTTACGAGATAGAAATCCTGTGCTTGCTATCAAATAAGAACGCATCTTACAAGATAGAAATTCTGTACTTGCTATCAAATAAGAACTCCAGTGAACACATCAGAGAGGGACAGTCAGTGGCTTGAATTCCATTTGATGCAGTGCTGAATACAGCAGTCATTCAGAAACTTGGTTTGGGACTCCAGATGCCTCAAAAGGGACAACTGATTCAATTGAAGACCCTCTTATATTAAGGAGCAGAATATTTCAGCTTGTAGGTGGATAAACACCCTCTGTGCTTTAGTGTAGTTAAAGACCATGGTTTGGAGGCCTCTATTTTCACCAGATTTTACCAATTGTTTTCACTACTGTTCCCAGAATTAAGTTACTGCCTAGCTTGTCGGTGAAGATGCTCGTGATTCTTTAAGCTTTGCCTGCCTTGGCACAGCCTTCTGCTTTTAAACATCAGGTGTGGGTTCTTACTTTAGAGCCTGACCTGATTCTGCTACTGCTTTCTTTCTCATCCTCCATTTTTAGAGAAAGCGTCTTTAATTTCAGCTCATTATGGACGAACTTTCTGTTGGACCATTTCATAGTTGAGGCGTTAGTCATAAACATTCCTACCTTCCAACCTTTTCTCTCTGATTATCCTTTACGCAACAAAGGGTAATGAATAAATCTTAGCACTACAAGGGTACAGAATGGGTCCCACAGATAAGTGCTGTGTAGAGTGAATTTCCTATCCTTGTCTTATTTAGCAGAGTAGATGTATCCAAATTCCATCTGTAGATTCCAGCTTTGGGATATATAGGAAAAAGAAGGAGTTCTAATGCACATCTGGAAAAAAATTCGGGAAAAATTTACACATAGCTTAAAAAAAACTGCACATCTCAAAATGAGGAGTATCCTTCACAATGCTTTCTGTAACTTCATCTGAAATATTTGTTACTTATTTTTAATACAGAATTCTATAGCATTAAGGAATTACAATTGCTGTATACACTGTAAACATTTACTGTTTGGTCCTTAAAGTACTCTATTAACTATATTATAATGAGATAATCCTCTATATAGAGATCTTGTTTGTTTAACAAGATTTTTTATAGAAATATGCATTTTCCTTGTATTTATGATAGGATGTTATTTTTATAAGGATTTTATTGTTGATTTTCATGTTTAGTTTTCTTGTTCCTGCTTAGGTTGGCCAAGTGGCAACCCTCTCACACACATTTTAAGTATCTTAGTTTGCAGAACAGATCCATCTCTAAGATTGTTATTGTTATTATTAAAAATATATTTTTCAATATAATGATGTAGCTATCTGCTTTCTATGTGCTAAGCAGGTTATGCTGATTGATATAGTTCTTATTCTTAAAGAGGCACATACAGTTTATTTTCCATAAGCAAATTGCTACTGTATGTATTTTGCTTTGTCCAAAGATTTCTAGGAGATTGGAGGTGTGTTGGGGGGTGAGGGAGAAGAGGGAGATTAGGAGACAAAAAGATGTCTTCCATGCTTGATACGATTTTACTAGTTTAAGGGAATGTAATGGGTAAATTTTCTAGGTTCAGACATTATAACTTAAATGCAGTTACTGAATTTCTATCTCAGCATATATGGGTTTATAATTAGTCCATTTTTGGATACTATTGTAGTACAAGCAATAAATAGAGAGGAAAATGCATCTTTGTTTTATCAGATAATTCCAGTGTCTTAAGTCAGTAGTCTGGGAGCTACCATTCATACTGCCCTAAGGCAAATGTACTAACTAAAGACTTTTTTTTTTAGCTATTTTCTCCTTTAAGGAAAACTTGTGGCAGTAACTGGAGTTAGTTCCTGTAGAAGCAGAAAGGGTTATTTAAACAGCACAATCAGAATTTGCAGATGCTGTTTAAAACAACCAAATAAAGTAGATAGTGGTGGAAATACTATTGTGCAACTGAGCTAAAGGAATTTCGTTAGACAACTACTTGCCTGTTATTTTCATTGACAAGGTAGAGATAAAGCAGTGATCATTTCCAAAGCTGTGTTCTGGCTGATGCTTTTATATGTGTTTTTCAAGCCAAAAAACACATGAGTGTTTTTACCAAGATTCAGAATTATCACAGCATTGTTGCTGAAGCAAGTCATTTTTGAAAGGAAGGGTATTATGAAAAGAATAGTGACACCTTAGTGTCACACAGAAAACTCTCAGCAGCTGAAGTCCTGACAGAATCTGGCAGAAATTCAAAGTATGGTTTCTCTCTAGTAATTCCATTAGCATTTCAAAGGTTGATCATGTTCTGGGATTTCCACAGGAGGTATTATTTCTTAAGTTAAGAATTAGTATTCTAGAGCCTTGGCTGCACTAGGGATACTGCAGCTATCTTGCAACAGCTAATGTACTGTATACGAGACTTTTTAAGGCTTTATCTAAACACAGCAGTACTTTCTCCATTCATACATTTTGCAGCTTTGTCTGTACCAGCATAATGAAAGTAGCAGCTCTCTTTCCCCCTTAGTTTGAGTACAGCCTTCTCAATATTAAATGGTGTATATCGATAGCTCATTTCCACATAGGAGGAAACAACGTAGGAGGGCTGGCCCAATTCCAGAAATTGTTTTTAATTATCTTGCTATTGCTCTGCCTGTATAAACTGTTTGTGTGGAGACACTATAGCAGAAAAAAGTAATTTCATTCTAGTTTATTTGCCCCTTTCCACAGAGTTCACATAAAAAGTGATGCCACTTCAGTTTTCTTGGTTCAATTTGCCTTTGTGGGCAAATTTGCCCTTTACTGATATATCTGCATCTATGTTAAAGCATATAAATGATGAATGTTTTGGTAATAAAAGTAATAAAAATGCATCTTTCCCTCTGATATAAGCCTATCTTACTCGGTTTATATTAGAACGAGTACAGTTTACTGTGAATAGTTAGAATATTTCCATCTGGCTGCGTATTACCAGAACCTACAGAGCAGCTGCCCCTCTGAATCCTAACTTAACTCTCTGTTGTTTGGCATGAAACATAATGTTTTACATACTCTGACCAAACTTTCACTGCTGCTTTATAAATCAGTATCTTGTCCAATATGTGTTACCCAAATAAGAGTTTAGAAAGTGGAAGTCTGACTATCAGAACTTGGACCCCATGCAAATAAGTATGATCTGCATGCATGTGTTCTATAAAAATAGAGTTAAACAGATCCCGATGATTTCCTTTTTAAAGCCATAAACGCGAGAGAGATCTTGATTTTTCCCTCCCACTCCCACCCCCTTCCTTCCTTTCAGTATGGGATCATGATGGGGAAAAGACTGAGAATCAGAATAACCTTCCTGCTTTAAGCCTGGAAGCTGTGAGGAAAGGACCCAGATGGAAACTAGCTAACAGGAATAGAAGGAGGCAAAAGTCCAGGGACCTTTGGCCACTCAGAGAACATTGACTAGCTTTGGTTAGCTGTGCCCTGTCCTATGCTCACTGACTGTTTACGCCGCTCTTTCCTTCTGTTCTGCCTCTTCACTTCTGTTTAGGTATTTGCTTACTTTATATGTTTTCCCCTCCCTGTTCTGCCGTCCTTACTCCGGACCTCCTTCCATTTTGCTTGCAAGCAAAAGCCACCCGCAAACTGGAATTACTCTTGCATTTACCACAGTCATGCTGTTTGTGCTGTGTGTGAACTTTTCCCCCGTGCTGTCTGTCTTATCTGTTTAGACTGTAAGTTTTTTAATCCAGAACTTTTTATTGTTCTGTGTTTATGTGCTGTCCAACATAATGGAACTTCAATTTTCATTAGTCCTTAGAAGCAACTGGAAAAAACTTGATCAAGAATAATAATCCTTTATCCTGCCTTTCTATAAGAAATCACTTCTAGGCAAATGACTACCTTTAATGAAATGGGGTGTACAAGATGAACTGTGTAAGAGGAACCTTGCTCTTGCAGTTTTTCTGTAGGTAATCTCAAGATTTAAAAGTACAGATATTACAACAGTAGTTCTATTACAGTCCAGAATAAGAGGATGGACATTTCAGAATGAATTTCCTGTTGACTATATTTGCATTGTACTTGCAGTAGTTTGCAAGTTGTTAGTTTGTTTTCCGTGTTTTCCATCTTTTACATTTGCTTTCTAGAAACCATTTTGGTAGGTGGGGGTTGTTTGTCTGAAAAGCGTTCCAAGAGCTGAGTATGAAGCAAGAAGAGTACTAATGAGAAAGAATGGATATGGCATCTTCACAAGGAGTGGTACTCTGGTAAGAATCTGAGTGTAATTTATTAAACAAAAGGTAATGGTTCCAAATCAAATGTGTTTGTACATCTCTCTGAAGACTGTCTGATCACTAATTGAAAGTATTTCATATGAAACATGAAAAGTAAAAGGATTGCGCTATTTTAAGTTCTGAACCAGCATTCAACATTTTTACTGTCTTTAAGAAGTCACTGCTAAGTAAATTAGAAGTACTTTTTTAGAAAGATAAGCTATTTCAGAAAAGCAGTTAGTGGCCATTTATAACTCACTATTTGCTAGCCTGGTTATCTGAATATTTAGAAGCTGAGCTTTTTTGCTTTGTTTTTGGAACTGTCAGAAAAAATTTTAGCACTTTGACTACTGTGGGACTATAGCAAACTTTTTATAACTTAACTTTTAGTGGCATGTTTCAGTAGTATGCATATAACTGTCCTAACAAACATTGTAAGAAACGATCCAACTTTACAGAAGGTATGAAACACTTACGTACTTATTGACAAATTAATCATATTTGGAAACTTTTCATCTTCCTATAGATTAAAAAAAAAGCAAAAACATAACATGCTACACTATTATACTGATACTACTTTATTGCAAGTTTCACACTATTTAAATAATGTGCACATTAGAAGGTGCAAGTAGAAACATCAATGGAAGTTTTATTGTAAATAAAATCTACTACAGTAGAAGTGATTCCTTTTAATTTAGTCTTTGAAAAGCTTAGGACCACAAATCTTTAAGCAAAATTCTTATTTTCACCAAAATTGGTGATCTTCTTGTCTGTATATACTGATATCTTGACATTCACGAAGAACTTGTGCTTCTATTTTTTTTTTCCCACTCTTTGGATTCCCTTGGTGGTTGTTATTGCAGTGGAACTGTTCTGATAGCAGCTGGAAGTTCTTTGCAATCCTTCTTAAAAGGTATTTTGGGATTCTGGGTGTGTATATGCTATGCAGTGAAGAGCATTGCAGATTCTGACTGAGCTTCCTTCTGAGGAACTAGTTGCAGAACTAAGGTGGCCATCCAGAAGCAGGCTACTTGCAATTAGATTACGATTGTGATGGTCCACAAGAACTCTTTACTTCAACGTGCCAGGCTGAAAACTGTAGTGGTTCAGGAGCTGATTCGCAAGCAGCAGCAAGGCGTCACTAGGGTGGACAATGTCTGTTAGAGAGATGGGGGGTTATGTCTGGGAGAGGTAAAATTGTTACCATCCTTCCCCACCCCCACCCCCCCCCCCTCCCCCCCCAAAATGCTGCTGCATGTCTGACAGAGCCCTTAGCCCTGTTAGAGGCAAGGATAATGGGCTTAGGCATGTTGTTGTGCTAGCACAGATATCCTGTGTGGCACCTGATGAGATTATAACAACACTGTCCTGTGTCCTGGCAGGGCAGGAGTACCAGCCTGGCTCACAGAACTTCAAATCCGCTTGCGCTGTCCCCAGTCACACAGTGCAGACATGCAGATACCTATGGCAGCATTAGTTTAAACAGAGGATTCTCACTAAGAGACTGGGAAAAGAAGCATGAAGAATGCCTGGTAGATGAATTGCTGAGATCTGTGGCCAGGCAGATGATACTGCAAAGGCCTGGAGTGTACAGGTTAGACCTACTTTAAGGCAGTTTCTGAAAAGATTAATGCAAGCAGTCTCATTTGAAATTAGATCAGTATGAAAATGACTAATAGTGACTTTTAGTTAACATCCCTTCTGCAGCACTCAGCTTTTAATTTTTACTTTCTAGGTGGGTGGAAGAGACAATCTGGCCTTGAAAGTGTTATGCACTTACTCCAGTGCCAAAACATAAAACATGCATCGGCAACTGTAGTATTAGGGCATTACTAGGTTCCTCAAGCTGCACTGGACAAGTGCGTGTGCTAGATAAATTTTATTATAGTTTTTCGATTGTTGTGATTCTGTAGTCTATCACAGTAACTTGGAAGGAAGAAGTTAGGCTGCTCACAACTTTTTTTGCAATGCTAATCTTTCTCTGGCTTATTGCTTGACAAGTGTTGGGTTATTTATTTCATCTGTTTATATTTTAAAGTTGTCCATAGAGGGGGGAAAAATGAGGGAGTGAGCCCTTTTCAGTTTAAAAACCTGAAGGACAGATTCTGAAGGACAATATAAATCAAGAAAAACCTAGTTTGCGATTTCCATGTCATAGAGGTATCTTATTGGTAGTTGCAGTAGTCATAAAAATCAAGCCTGAAGTGTTACCTACTTTTTTCTTTTGATCCTTTCTAAGGTGTCTGTACTGAGTGACATTGTTTCAAGTAAAAATGGTCAAAGCAAGTGACTGACTTGTAAAAGACAAAGACTTGACTATCACTTAGTGTTTAATTCCTCTTTCACTAAATCTTTTTTGTGATATTAACGTTATTTGTGACACTCTAGTAGGTGGAAGCCTGAAGGAGAAAATGTTATAATTTTCCACAATTCATCAGTTTGTGGATGTTTCTGTTACATTGTTTCCACACTGAATGACTCATATATTAAATGAACATGCCAGCCTAAAGACATGCCCTCAATATTGCAGCCCGCAGTGAAACTTGGTGCCATTATATATAAAAATATGGTAGGTGCTCATACCCATTTGATTCCTTGAGAAGTTACGTGCACATTAGATATGTGTGCTATCAATTATTTCACTCAGTGTACTTACTTTTTCAAAAGTTCTCTCTTACTGTATCTCATTGCTCTTTTTTATGCCCTTAATTTGCTGAGCTTATAGGCAACATCTCTCTTGTGAGTGTAAGCTGGAACAGACAAACAGTGATTGTCTTTTTTTTTAATTTCTTTCCCCAAAGTGGCACAGTTTCTATCTATTCATTTCCAGACTATTTTATGAGAGACTAAAGGTATTTGTGTTGCAACCTGCATATTTTTGTAATAACTTAGATTCAGGAATATTTTTATTTGTCAAGTTGATAACACAGATCTAATGTTCTTCATCCTGTGAAAACACCTACTGGAGTGAACCAGTTGGCCTCTGGTTATCTTTGCTGTTCTTGAATTTCAGCTTTCTTACCAATTTAATTTTTCATAGTTTATTAAAGATGTCAAGAGTAAAACAGGTTTGTCTATTGACAACGGGTTGCATAATTTATCATCTATAGTACAGAAGCTTCATAGTGGAGCAGTGAGAGAGGCAGGCCCGAAACTGGTCCAGGGTTCCAGTTCTATATTTCTTAGTATCTCTTATTCTTACCTCTCTTGTAATATGAATACAGACATCTACTCACAGTGTCAAGCTGAGAGGACGGGTATTGAAAAGAAAGTAAAATAAGACTCTGCAGATATTGTTTTGAATCTTTAGATTTTTTTTGTCCATGTGTTACATAGCAGGATTGATTATGAGCTTCCGTCCTCTCCAGAATTTTTGCTCTCTGGATGATGGACCATGGTTTTGATAATAAGACAAATTGCTGCTATGGAGCTATTAGAACATCATGAGTCAGGTATTTTGGCTTTGAAAGTGGTCCATTGTATCATGCATAATATGTAGTGAAGGAGTTTATGCCAAAGTGAACACATACATTTATATTAAATAGTAGCGTTTCCATAAATTTTTCACTTTACACTTCTCAGGGCAGTATATTGTGTGTGAGTTTTCTGTCTATGTCCCTGTTATTTTCAGGAGTAGGTTGTCTGTGCTCACCTAAAGGAGCTGATCCATCCATCCCATGTCTGGTTTTGGGCTGCAAGACTCGACACGTTAATGAAAACTAAGCGTATTTCATTAATAGAATTAATCATAGTTCCAGTTGAATATCCTGGAGGGCAATAAAAGTATCAATTTCAATCCTGTTTCAAATTCCAGCACCCATTCTCAGGTCATTTAAGGATGTCTCACTAAAAGAGTTGATAGAAAAATACAGCTGAGGACCACTGTCTCATGTCCAAGTGCTGCTGAAATATAGGGGAGGGGAGGGAGCAGATAGCAAAATGGAAATAGATCAGGAGCTGCTGCTTAAGCTGGGTTGCTGCATTTAAGAGAATAGGGTAGATGCGGAGGGCGGCATCTCGTCTTCATGCTTCACTTTTCCACCTGTTTCAGAGCACTTATCTTTTTTTCTTTTCTGTACTGTATGATGAAGATGCAAAGCTCTAAGGCTAAGTTTAGTGACTATTTTGAGGAGTTGACATAAAACCTGTTTGTAAGAACCCAGATTGGGTGCTGAATGTACTAACCTTTTCCTCTATGTTGAATCATTTAGTCCTTTTATCTTGGGGCAGTGGTTTCACCCCTGGGTATACACAGTTCTGCCAGTCACCCAATATACTAGGGTATTGCACATGACTAAGTTCAAGTGGCCTTAGATTTTTCTCTGTTAGATCAATACAAGAGTCAAATGTTGCCTTGGGCCAGCTAGCAGCATGATCATAAAATTGTCCCCATTAAGATGATAAAAACATCACTTCTGTGACTCCAGCCAGCGGAGGTAGCTGCAGAAGCACTAACTCAGGGACTGCAGCACTGAGGGGTATGAAATAAAATGGGCTCAGCACAAGGCAACCTGCTCCTCACCAGCCTCAGCCACCTCCGGACACGGGAGCATTAGGACCCAGCTCATCCCTTGCCTTTATGCCTCGTGTGGCTTTGGAGGAAACCGCTGTGAGAAGCCAGCTGGAGCTGCAGACTGGGAGCTGGGCGGCCAGCAGGGACCTTTGCCCGCCCAGCCAGCTGCTGCCTGCCTGCTGCCGAACAGGCTTCTGCGGTCCGCTGCTCATTGGCTCCTCTGCCTCCACCTTCTCCTCCCTCGCTATCTTGCATTTCAAAGTACTCCTTTTTTAGCTCCTTCCTTGTTGTGGCCTGTCCCATTCAGATAGTGCTTTATGTAAGCCCTTTATTGCCAATTTTCTCCATTCCCCACCAGAAGAAGCCCACAGCAATCCCACAGCTAGGTGGTCCTTTCTTGCCATTATAATTCATTCTGCTTCTGTATTTACTCTCTTTTCCTCTCTCATGTCCCTCCTGTCCATTTAGACTATTAGCTCTG